TCCGTCCGTACGTCCGTCCGTCCGCTAACTTTGCGACGCTACTAGTTCTTTATCTTAAGAGCTATTGTTCTACTTTTTTCGCTATTTGGTTCGTTATGGTGTCGAGTCTTGTACCAAGGAAGGAATTTTTTCTGTGCCGCTTACAAAAAAAGTTATTGTAAAAAAAACAAAAAACCGTTTTTTTACATGTTCCATAATTTTACACTTTTGCCGTTTATTAACGATCCTAGAGATCGTTTATAATTTTGCATTGCTATCTGTCGCCTGCGGGTTGGTCTCTCCGTCTGTTCCTTTGTCTGTCTGTCCATCTATCTGTCCGTGTGAACGATAACTTTGTTTAGAAATGTTCGATCGCTTTTACATCTCCGTTAGTTATTAACTGAATTGCATGAAATTCAATATGGGCATAGCTTTAGCCATATAATACGCAACGCCAAAAGTTGAATCGAATCGATTCAAAATTCACAGTGCCCTTTTCGCATCTCGACCATTTATAAACCGAATTGCAAAATTTTTACTTATAAAAGCATTTGAATGAAATTTGATACATAGGCACTTGGAATAAAGGAAAATCAACTGCCAATTTCAAAATTTGGTTTTGCGCATGCGCTGTGCCAACTTTTTTATTTATGGAAGAATTTAAACGAAATTTGATACATAGGCACTTGGGATAAAGGAAAATCTAGCGCCAGTTTCAAAATTTTATTTTGCGCATGCGCAGTGCCAACTTTTTTTATCTATGGAACTATTTAAGTGAAATTTGATACTTAGGCGCTTGGAACAAAGGAAAATCTTAGTTTATTAGTTAGTTATAGTAAATTAGTTTTAAAATTTAGGTTTGCGCATGCGCAGTTCCAACTTTCTTATTTAGAAAAGCATTGAAATGAAATTCTTTTCATAAACTGAAATTGAAGTAGCACGTCAACAATGGATTGCCCATGTGCAACGCTATCTTTCATATTTGTGGCCGGATTTTTACGATTTTAACACAAGTTGCATCTTACAAATGGGAAATGAATGCAAGTGGAAATGCGCTTTATGTAAATCGTTTACGATTACTTTTTAACTTGTTGATAGTATTGTTTCTCGGAATCTTTGGGAAGCCTTCCATAATTTGTCATTTTAGTTACTTGATCTTGAATATCTTAAATAACTCAACTTCTCTGAATATGTTAGAATTTAAGAACATTTTCGAAATTTGGTCTGCTAATCATTTGAGGTTTCTTGAACAGTTTTCAAAAATGTTCTTAGACCACCACAGGTAATATTCGAACGTACGTTTTGTACGGAAGTTTCTGTCACATATTTAAAACACCATTTTCTGTAGCTTCTGGAACTTTT